AGAGCAATCGAGTCCGACTGATTAAAAGCTGCAGTGCTGCTGGGCAGCACGGGCTTCATGCAGAGCGCTATGACCCAAACCAGTTCCAGCACTGCGCCCTGAGACCAAAGACCGAGCGCGCCGAACAACAGGTGGGGACGGAGAGCGGCGCCGAGGACTCTGACCCACACGCGGTTCAGAGCCCCCAAGGCGCGCGCCCCCAGACAGGCAAGCATCCTTGCAAATAATGGCCCTGGGGCCAGGCAGCGGGGGCCTGACCAAAGCGGTTCGACGGAGAGCCTCCTTCGCCAACGCGCTGACAGGATACACAATCGAAACTGTCGTCCGACTACAGAATCACGGGCTGGCAGCACCTTGCGCCCCGCGAGCCGCGCCAGCACGAGCCTGCAGAGAGGGCAATCTGCGAGGCGGGGCGCGCTGCTGCAATGAACGAGGCATAGACGCACATAAGAAAGGGATGCCTCTCTTGCACCGAAGGGCCTGCCTAGCCGCTGCAGCTGAGTAGGCCCCCATTGCAGTATAAACTAGAAAAAAACCTCGCACCCCCTCCTGCATGATATGCGCCGATAAGCCCGAGCGGCCCCGAGAGTACACCCCAGGACCAGGGGGTCCGAGGACGAACTCCCGCAGGCCACAGAAAGCAAGCAAACGCGGTCTATCACGCAGGGGGGCGGGGTCCGGAAGGCTTGCCACTCGCAATCTCGTGAGCGCGTGCACGCGCGGAGGCGGCGTCACTGGCAGCGCCTGCTGCTGCCGCGCCCGCGGCAGCGGCGGCGCCCGCACCAGGCGCAGCTGCTTCACCTGCGCCAGCTGCTTCTGGTCCAGCATCGCCTCCATCTGTTTCACCTGCTTCGGCGAGGCGAGGCTTCTTCTGTAGCCGATCAGCGTGGGATGCGCGCTCAGCTTTGATGGCGCCCACTTTAGCTTTGGCCTGCGAGAGCAATTCCTTCGCGCCAATGTGCTGACACCGCTCTTGAGCTGCTGCACTCGGGAATCCAGTTCGCATTGGCCGTCTGCCGAGAGGTCGCAGTCCTCCAACTTGAAGGTGTCGCCGAAGTCGATGACGAAGAAGGAAGAGAGCTTCGACACGTCAAGAATGACCTCGGCAGACATACATACGAGGGACAGATGATTCCTGAGGCAATGTGGAGTGCAAGCTCTGGACCAGCTGCTTGTGATGTTCTTCAGCCCCAGCGAGCTCAGAACGGAGCTGCACAACATGATCTCGTTGAGCTGTCAGTTGCTGTTCGAGAGATTTGAACTTGCCAACCGCCTGTTCGATGTTGCGCTCAATGGTCTTGGCACGCTGATGGGCACGATTGAGCTGGACCTGAATAGACACTGGGACTGACTTGGGTTCGGTGAGCGCCTTGGCAGCCACTCGGTGGGTAGTTGCTCCGACCTTGTCACCAAGCTTCTCGCACAATGTCGCCAACTGCATGTACTCCTTGGCAGACAGGGGTGGCTTAGAAATTTCATCAGATAAGCCCCCTTTTGTCACCCTTGCCTCCTTCTGTGCCTCCACCGAAGCCAACATATGTACCATGATCACCTGTGTGGGCTCCGCCCGATGGCGGTCCTGCTGGCCACGTCGACCTCGGATCAACCATGGAGGCCGACTTGAACGCGCCGCAGTGCTTGCAGAAATAAAACCTGGATTCGTTCTTGCCGCATCCGGAGGGAGAAAAACAAACTTCCAGCGATGCCCCTTTGGCGCTGGACCACGCCGAACGCCGTCACGAGCAGGAGGAGCAGGCACTTGACGACCAGGAGTGAGCGGCGGCCGCGACAACTCATATTGCATCTGGGGCCGATGACCGTACTGTCCGTGTTGCTGACCTCCAGGCGAAGCCTGCGGGGCCGAGCTCCACGCACGGTGCCACGGGGCCCACGAGACCCTGCCCTTGCCGCCGCCGCCGCCGCCTGAGCCACCTGCCATTGCTGCCGAATGGACCTGATGGCTGCGACTCTGTTGAATGAATGCGGGAGCGCCCTCGACGAAAATACCGAGCCAGAGGCCCGCAACAGCACGATACCGTTCTGAAGGCATGCTGCTGCAAGCTGAGGCCATAAAAGCCTGAGCCAAAACGGCCGAGGAGGAGGAGGAGGAGGAGGAGGAGGAGGAGGAGGAGGAGGAGGAGGAGAGGAGGAGGAGGAGGAGGAGGAGGAGGAGGAGGACGAGGAGGAAGAAGGGGAGGAGGGGGAGGAGGGGGAGGAGGAGGAGGAGGAGGAGGAGGGGTGCCCAGCACCCTCACCACCTTGCGAACCTGCGCTCGGGCAGGGCGCCAAAGGCTCACGTCGACGATCCCCGGGTGGGGGTCCCAGCCCCCCTCCCCGAGGCAGAAGGGGGATAATGGCAGGCGCGGCGCGGGTGAGGGGGCCGCCGCGCAGGGGGCTAAGGGTGCCGCCATGGTGTAGCTATGCTGGCGTGCAGGCGGCTCTGTCACACCGTGACTTGCCGTCACTAGCTTGCGCCGACGATAAGCAAAGCCGTTCCGAAAACGCACCCAAGGGGCAGGAGTCGAGCAAGGCCAGGCCGTCTCGCTAATGCCCAGGGCCGTCTATGGTAAACGCAATTTTTCTGGGGGCCGGGTGCTGTTTCCCTTCAGAGTTTCTTTGACGTAATCCGCTGGAAATCGATAGAGCACTCCTAGGGTCGAAGAAGATGGTGTCAGAGGATCGCGCCGCATCGCCAATACATCGGCGATGCATCGTCGACGTTGGCAGTGCATCGGCGACGTCGACGTGAAGCAAATCGGGCTGCACATCGAGCCGCCTCGGCGATGCATGGGCGATGCGGCACGACCCTCCGAATCTATCTACTCCGACCCCATCTGAGAGGCCTCTAGAGAAAGGGGAGGGGGAGGAGGGAGAGGAGGAGGGGAAGGAGGAGGAGGAGGAGGAAGAGGAGGAGGGGGAGGAGGAGGAGGAGGAGGAGGAGGAGGAGGAGGAGGAGGAGAGAGGAGGAGGAGGAGGAGGAGGGGAGGAGGGAAAGGAGGAGGCGGAGGAGGAGGAGGAGAGGAGGGGGAGGAGGCCATGAATCGATCCACGGACAGAAGAGCCCAGAATCGAATCGACAAGTCCTATCGGCGATCGAAATGAATCGGGCCGGCGAGAATCGGCAGCCGAGTCGGGAACAGTCGAACCGGCGGACGTCGGCAGGCCAGTGGGCCTCAGCTGAGAAATCGGAGGCCAAATCGGGATCCGAAGCCGAATCGAATCGGAATCGGAGGCCATCGACATCAAATCGCATCGGAGGGATCGAAACGAGCTCTGAACGGACCCCTCCCGGGGTCCGTCCATCGACCCCGCGCCTCGAGGCGGATCCCAGCCGTGGCGGCGAGCAGCCCACACGAGGCCCCCAGCCACGCCGGGCGAAGACCGCCGGGGAAGGGCCCCGATGGTGCCTCGATCGGCCCTGCTCCCAGAAAGGAGACCTCAACAGGGAATCGTCGCCGTCGTCGTCGTCGTCGTCGTCGTCGTCGTCGTCGTCGTCGTCGTCTCTCTGAAGGGTCGGCGACACTGGCCGTAAGGCCTACGCAGTAGGGAACCGAGCTCTATGCACCGACGCCTTTTGTGGCGGCCCTGCACCGAGGTTTGCGCAAGAGAGCGGGTCCTGGTGTATACGGGAGATCCTGGTGTATACGTCTTTCGCTGTTTCCGAAGAAGAGACCACACAAACTATACGCCACGCCGACTCGACGTCGGCCCCGCCCCTCAAGAGTCAAGAGGCCCTGAGAACGGAAAACAGCCCGCCACTGGTCATGCACATTTGGGGGGCGGAAAGATACGGATACGTGTTGTCCCCGGACCTCTCTTGGGGTGCGTTCTGACCAGAATTTCGAGGCGAATCCAGCGGTGACAACGAGGATTCCCCAGGAGGGCCAGGAACAGCCGAAAACGAAGGGGGACAACACGTATCCGTATCTTCTTCTCCCCCGACACATGATCAGACTTCCAACAGCAGGTCCCCCCGCTGCTCCCCGGAACTCTGCTGGGGTGCGAGGTGACCGAGATCTCGAGGCGACCCCAGCGGTGGTGAGGCCCCCCGAGGAGGGGCAGGCGAGGGCAGGGAAGTGGGCAGGGGCAAGTTCGCGTCGCTAAGGGGAAACTGGGACACACAAATAAATACACACACATAAAACAGATTCCCCATATTTTCCTATATTTTCCAGGTTTTTGTCTTCCCCACCACTTCCTATATTTTTCAATATTTTCCTAAGGATCGACGAATAATTGTGTCTGTGTGTTTTTCCCCTCCTGAGTCGTGTCGACCCCAGCGTTGCCGTCGGGGCGTTGACATAAGGAACCCTAGACAAGGAGCGAGGCCCCTTTTTTTTCCCCATGGGTTAACTAGACTTCGATCCCCCATCGAATACCAAGGACAACCTGAGGCAACCTGCGAAGCAATGGAGGAACACGGAGCCCCTCCCCAGCGAAAAGGGTTCCTTGTTCAGCGCCCCGACTGTAGTTCCTGACACCGCGGGGATTGTTCAAACTTGAACGATCGGCCGTTCCGTGAACGCCCGAATGCTCCACGGGCGGCGTTCAGCCTTCAACGCACGCGCTTGGGTCGCTGCCGGTCGACACGACGCTACTCCAGCTTTCGTAATAAAAGGGAGGGTGTCTCAACCCTCCCAGACGAGAAGTTTTAGACCCCCCCCCGTGGGAGAACCCTCCAGAACATCGTCCCCAGACACCCCCAGGCCCTCCAAGATAGCCTGGAAGAGACCCCCCCCGAAATGAGACCCCCCTCCTTTTATTACGAAATCCGGAGTAATCTGCCGTACTCTGGGCTTCTCAATAAGCGTCGGGGGGGCGTCACCCCCGCCGACCGCCCCACATCGACCCCCGCCGCGGGCAGCCACCGCGCACCGGAGGCGCTCCGACCCCCGTCGCGGAGCGACGACGAGGCGAGCTTAACCCCCGTCGGGGGGGTACCGCCCCACGCTGAAATAAGAAACCCAGAGTACCCTTTCCTCCTGTGACGCCCCGAGCACCTCGTCCATCCCCTCGCCCACCGAATCCAGAGCGGCGAGCGCGCGCGACACGTCCAGCGCGGAGGAGCCGCGCTGTACGTTCTTCAGCAGGATGGAGCACGTCGCCTGGTTCGGGCTCAGCCCGCATGCCTGCATCTCGTCGACCAGGGGCCAGACGGCCTCGGAGGAGGAACAAACTACAGCCGAAACGCTGTCTTCAGGACCCCCAAGTATCAGGAGCGGGCCCCTTCTTTCCCCATGAGTCGAACTTCGACTTCCCAGAGGAAGCCCAAGGAACACTGAAGACAAGACGTAAAACAATCAAGGAACACTGAGCCCACACAAAATGCCTGAGGTCCGCGCGGATTTCTCGGATCTGCGCTGGGCCCTCCAGGCGCCCCCGGCGCCGCCGACGGCGCGCTCCGCGCGCCAGGACAGGTTGGCGCCCAGCGCCAATCCTCGAAATCCGCGCGGACCTCCGGAAGTTTGTGTTTACGCAGCCTTCTGCCATTGTGGTCATTGTGAACGCTTTCCTGTTCGGCGTGTCGACATTGGGCGGAAGGGGGGGAGGGGAGGCGTCTTGCTCCAGACCTCCGCTTCATGCGACGGTTTGGGGCCGTGCGTCCTATGGGGGTCACTCCGCCTGCTCGAAACAGGCGCCAAAAACAGCCAAGATCTACTCCACGGGGGTTCGGAGAGGGTGCGAGGGCCTGCGCCGATTGGCAAAACAATAGATAAGAAAACGATCACATTCAAGGCCTGAGGGTCGCTCTTGATGGCCGCCTCGATGATCTCGTTGAAGGTGGCGCAGGTGGGGGTGAGCCCGACGGTGCGCATGTCCTCGAGAAGGGTGCGCGCGCGCCGTACGTCGCCCTTGCCAAGGTGGACCTTGATCATCTTGCTGAAAGTGACGGCGTCCGCCAGCCCCGCCTGGGTGGCCTGCGCCACCAAGCGCTCCTAGGAAAAGAACCCAGCGACGTGATCAAAAACTCTCGGAGTTCCGCGCGGACTTTTGGGATCGTAGCTGGCCGTCTCTGGCGCCGCCCCTGGCGCGCTCTGCGAGCCAGGGGGGCCCATCGCCGATTCAAGGAACCCGCGCGGACCTCCGAACAGTGCTGATTCACTGCCCGAATAGGGGAGCGACTGCAACATTGATGCACTCCAAATTGGCGTCCCCGCCGAATGCGCGAGAACGGCGTACAATCTTCGTTGACCTACGAGACATGAAACGCATGTCTCGTAGACTCGGCGGGAACGGAAATTCTGGGGGGCAGGCTTTCTGCTGTTGATCCCCTGCTCGAACTACCTAGTTTGATGAGTAGAAGAAGAAACAAACCATAATCATAAACGTTTGACGCTCCGCGCGGACCCATGAACATACCATAAACAAACAAACCATACACAAACCATAAACAAACCATAAACAAACCATACACAAACCATAAACAAACAATAACGTTTGATGAGTAGAAGAAGAAACAAACCATAAACGAACCATACATATAAACGTGGATTTGCGCTGGACCCCCCTCCCTGGCCCGCGGAGCGCGCCAGGGGCGGCTCCACAGGGGCCACCGGGGGGCCCAGCGCGGATCCCAGAAACCCGCGCGGCGCGCCACAAAATTATGCTCACGCCATCTCTGCTCATCTTCGATCTCTGCTCTTCGAGCTCCGCGGCGGCCGTCTCGCGGGCCTCCACGTACAGGTCGAGGAGGGCGTTGTGGAGGCACGCGGTCTTCTGCGGGCAGGCCCGGAACAGCGCCTCGGCCGCCCGGAGCTGCCCCGCGGAGCCGAGGCGCCTGAGAAAGCTCACCTGGCGCCACGGAAGAGCAGTGCCTTACGACGAGCGGATTCTCCACCACCGCTACCATGGGTAGGAGAGGTAGGAGAGGGAGGAGGAGGAGGGGGAGGAGGAGGAGGAGGAGGAGGAAGAGGAGGACCACCCCCGTCCTCCCTTCTCCCCCGTCTTATCTATTGTAATTAGTGGTGGTTTCGAAATCGGCCCATCACCTTACTCAACGAGACAATAGCGGGGGGCATGATAGGAGGCAACTGCTGGGAGGTCTTTGTCGGGAGGACTAGGGAGATTTAAGCCCCGTTGTGGGGGCAGCTGCGCCAAGATAGGCCGCGGATGCAGCGGGATTGAGCTGGATTCAGCGGGACTCAGTGGGACTATGCCGGTTTGAACAGGATTTCGGACCAAGGCAAAACCAGAATTTGTCCTCCCAGGAGTTGCATCCGAAAGCACGGTGACCCCAATCCCAGACTTTGCGAGCCTTCCGACTGGACAGCGAAGATTCGGCCATACTCGAGGATATCAGATGGGGGGCGGCCCTCCTCAACAAGGATACGGCCAAACACCCCAGGGGCAAGAGATCGCCTACGCGGCGAGGAGAACACGAGCGGTGGCTCCCGTTACGGATGCAGCCGACCGCGCACGCCGCGTGGCAGAGAGGCGCCCCCACGAGAGAAGCGCAGGCGCGGACGGACCCCTTGCCGTCGCCCGGACGCCCCTTTCCCGTGCATTGCTCGGTTTCGTGCGTGTTTTGTTCGCTCGATCATGCAGGATGTTCCTCAAGGATCCCCGTCGAGAAAACATACGCACGTCCGAGCGAATGCCGGGACCCGTTGTGCTGCGACGCACCTCTGGCGGAGCCAGGACGTGCTCCCGCCGCCGCTCCCGGGGCGCGCCCCGCGAGGCGAGCCCGGCGGTGGCGACGAGGGCCCCCCGAGAAACCCACCACGCGGGGAAGAAGTCAGGAGGCAGCTACAGTCGGACTTAGACCAGAAGAACATACTTCAAGAACATGAGACCCTCCGTCGGCCAAAACAAACCGAATATCCAAGTGTACCCCTCCCCAGTATGCACAAGCACGAAGAACAGTAGGGTACCCTCCCCGAACCGATCTCGATCTTATATCTCGGTCCGACTGTACTGTTATGTCGGGCGTGTCCCCCTACAAGGGGATTTCCGACGAAACATAAAACATACCCCAAGAATACCCCAAACAAGTAGGAACATAATCAAAAAAGAGTCCCCAGACTATGTTTGGACTATTGTTTGATTATGTTTGGGGTATTTCTTATTTTTCGTCGAAAATTCCCTTGTAGGGGGACAAGCCCGACTTAAAACTACTGGAAGGTTTTCGTCGGAAAGATTGAGGAGGATTATGCCCCATTTGGGAGCCGTTATGCTGGAGTGGGCCTCGAGGAAGCGGGGTTGTGCCAGATTAAGCGGGATCAAGCCAGATGAAGCCGGATTTCGGACAAGGCCAGACTCAGAATTTGACCTCCCAGGAGTTGCAACCGAAAGAGGGGAAGGGCACCGACACCTGTAGCTTAGAGGCTTAGTGGGCCCTGGAAACGACCAGGCCGCTTTTGAACCGTTTTCGTTCTGCCGTTTCTTGAACGGTTCCGACGCCGTTTTGTTTACCGGTTCCGTCGCCGTTGTTTCTTGATTCCGATCCTGGAACCGTTTTTTGTTGCCGTTTCCGGTCGCCGTTTTTCACCGATTCCATCTTCAAGAGATAATTTGTCGGAAACGGTGAAAGAACGGCCCTGCCGTGTCTGAGGCCCACCAAGCTCAAAGGCCCTCTCCCCGACACCTGGTGCGGGCCCGTGGACGCGGCCATCAGCTCCCTCAGCAGATCCCCGCGCCTGGCACGGATCGCCGCCTCGGCGATGCACCTGGCCGCCTCGGGCTCGCACAGGACGTCGACGCCCGCAAGCCGCTCCTCTCGGAGAACCAATCAATATCGACACCCCCACTCTCTGGACCTCGCCCAGGGTGCGGTCTGACCAGCATTCAGAGGCGCGTCCGACCGTGGCGGCGAGTGCCTCCCGGGCGTCCCAAAAAGGCACGAAACCAGTCAAGGGTGGCGGTATGGATACCTTCTCCTCTCTGGGCCAGAAAAGTCCCGGGGAACCTGCGAAGCCCGCCCGCGTCGTCCCAGAGATCCGATGTCGTGATTTTTTCCACACGCGGTCCCCCGGAAGCCTCGACCCATTCCCCAGGACCGGTTTTTCATCCTGAGTCGTTTCCCGACGGTCCCGGGGCCCGGCGAGGGCCCCAAGAGGCCGAAAGTTGAGAAAAACCTCTGGAGTTGGATCTCTGGAGTCGTCGTCGGATTTTTTCTGGAGTTGGATCTCTGGAGTTGGATCTCTGGAGTTGGATCTCTGGAGTCGTCGTCGTCGTCTCTGGAGTTGGATCTCTGGAGTTGGATCTCTGGAGTTGGATCTCTGGAGTCGTCGTCGTCGTCTCTGGAGTTGGATCTCTGGAGTTGGATCTCTGGAGTTGGATCTCTGGAGTTTTTTCAATGCGTTGGATCTCTGGAGTCGTCGTCGCCGCCCGTCGTCGTCGCCGCCGTCGCCCGTCGCCACGGGGCACCGGCTCCTCGAAGAAGCGCAGCACGCCCTGGCCCTCCACGAGCCCCCTGGCGATCAGGAGCACGGCGGCCGCCCCCAGCTCCTGCGCTGCGCACGCAGGGAGGTGGCTCCAGACCCTCCTCCTCCTCCTCCTCCTCCTCCTCCTCCTCCTCCTCCTCCTCCTCCTCCTCACCAGCAACCCCAGCTCCTGCGCTGCACGCAGGGAGGCGGCTCCAGACACGAGCAACCCTTCACTTCAGTCGGGCGCGTCCCCCTACAGGGGGATTTTCCGACGAAGAATCCAATTCGCCGGCCCAACGGGCCAGAGGCGTGCTAAGATCTCCGGTAACTGGTAAACAGTATTTCTGGTTCGCGCGCGCGGGGCGGCCCCTGGGGGTCCCTGGATCAAAAGTACCCCGGGCGGAGCCCGGGACACTCCCCCAGATCCTCCAGGATCGCCCCAAGAGGGACCCAAGAGGCCACCAACACAATCCAAGAGAGGTCCGAGACGCCCGAAGATCGCTCCACGGCGCCCAAGATGGCCTCCAGACGGCCCAAGACGTCTCCAAGATGACCCAATAAGCCTCCAAGATGCCCCAAGAGGCCTCCAAGAGAACTCCCAAGAGGGCCCCAAGAGGCAAAAATCGATGCTTATTCTTAGGTGTTGGACAGATTTGGGCGTTTTAACTTTTTCGGTTCCCCGACGCCCCTAAACGGCTCAAGAGGCCTCCAAGATCGCCCCAAGAGGGCCCAAGAGGCCTTCGAAAAGGCCCCAAGACGGCCCAAGACGGCTCCAAGACGGCCCCAGAGGCCTCCAAGACGGCCCAAGAGGGCCCTAAGAGCGCCCCCAGCACGGTCCAAGAGAGGTCCGAGACGCCCGAAGATCGCTCCACGACACCCAAGATGGCCTCCGGACGGCCCAAGACGTCTCCAAGATGGCCCAAGAAGCCTCCAAGATGCCCCAAGAGGCCTCCAAGAGAACTCCCAAGAGGGCCCCAAGAGGCAAAAACCTGTGTTTTTCCTTTGGTGCTGGACAGATTTGGGCGTTTTAACCTTTTCGGTTCCCCGACGCCCCTAAACGGCTCAAGAGGCCTCCAAGATCGCCCCAAGAGGGCCCAAGAGGCCCCCAAGAGGGCCCCACGACGGCCAAAAACGGCTCCAAGACGGCCCCAGAGGCCTCCAGGACGGCCCAAGAGGGCCCCAAAAACGCCCCCAACACTACACAGCTCCCGACGCAGCAGCTCCACACTGCAAACGACCACTCGGACAGGCGACCACGGTGCGACATGATGGGCCGGCGGAATGAGCGAAGCGATGAAATAACAAAACATACTACAAAACATGGCCAACGAATGCACCAAAAATGGTCCCCAGCCTATTTCCTGACTACTTCTGAAACTTCCCCCCGTAGAGGGACGGGCCCGACTCGAGACGAGAGCCGCCCTCGTGGAGCGCGAGTTGGCCGCTCGCGGCGGGCGCTGCGGCGGCCGTGCTCTACGCGCGTGGGCCTGGCCGCCCCGGGCCCACCGCGAACGCCGCGCACCAGAACGGCCCCTGTGGCGCTGGAGGCGGCATGGGCTGACTACCTACCAGACCACCCCAACCCAACCCGAAGACCCGAATTTCGGGTTGGGGGGGGGGTATGGGCTCCACATGTGTTTTTTCAATGTTCCCCGACCCCCCCCCAACTAGAAATGGAAGGCAAATTGAGGCCTTCCGGTTGGGTTGGGGTGGTTTGGTGGGTGGTGATGGGCCAGCCGTGCGAAGAAAAATCGGCACCATAGATCCGTTTTGAACGGTCCCGGGGGCCCGAAGAGCGCGCCCCCCCCGGAGACCGAACAAGAAGGCAAGAGAGGTGCTCGAGCCCAGCCCCGAACTTCGACCCCCGCACTACTCGCCAATACCAGTGCTGGGCTTAAGTCGGGCCTGGCCCCCTTACAGGGGGATTTTGACGGAAGAACGCGAAAACATATAAAACACATAGTGGCCCGAAACTAATCAAAAAATAGTCCCCAGACTATGTTTGACTATTTTTGGATATTCCTTCTGTAGAGTGACAGGCACGACTTAATGCTGGGCCACCTCGAACCCCCCGTCGACGGCAAAATACCCCGCGCTCTCCCGAACGCCGCGCACCCGGAAGGTGCCTCCAGCGAGAAACAATGTTGTTTTGCGCCCGAGACGGGAACGGAAAATTGGGTACGATGCCCTCCTCCTCCTTCTCCTGCTCCTCAACCTCCTCCTCCTCCTCCTCCTCCTCCTCCCTCCTCCCTCCTCCCTCCTCCCTCCTCCCCCTCCTCCTCCTGCCCCCTCGTCCTCCCCCTCCTCCCCCTCCACCTCCTCCTCCTCCCCCTCCTCCTCGTCCTCCTCCTCCTCCTCCCTCCTCCTCCTCGTCCTCCTCCCTCCTCCTCCTCCTCCTCCTCCTCCTCCTCCTGCTCTTATTATTATTATTCTTATCATTTTCTTCTTCATATAATTATTAGTATTATCCCTCCTCCTCCTCCTCATGTTTTACGCCCGAGATGGGTACGGAAAAACTGCGTACGATGCCAATCATCAGCAAATGTCATCCCGCAACGATAGCTGCCACTGTCTGTCAGGCGACCTCTGATCTCCAATGGACCACGCCCGCGGCGACACCGACAGAGAGCCCTGCCCAAAAGGACGGGAACTGCTGCTGTCGGTCTTCGCACCTTCGATCGTACCGGACTCTGAGACGAAGCCAGACGAAGGTAGAATCGGGTGAGGGTAAATCGAACATCTTTGAAATCCCACGGTTCTGGAGGATATCTGGGGCGCCGCGGCCTCCTCGAACGTTCCCCGAAACGCTCCGAGAGCGGTCCGTAACGGATTCAGCCTCGTCCTAGCCCCGTCCGAAACTCTTACGGGCAGCCGGGCTTGCGCGTCGCATAGTGTCGGGGGGTTGGGCAGCGAAAGCTGCCAAATAGTGGCCCTTCAGGGCCCCTCTAAAGGGGCCCTCTCGCGCCCAGAAGGGGGCGCTCATGGCCCGAAAAGGGTACCTTTTCCCTACCATTGATCGCCCCCCCGCATTGAGCATGGACCGACTGTGCCGGCATTTCTACAAGCCTACCACGAAATGCACGAAATGTTCTTCGAACTTGGCAACCATGCCCTAAGAATAAGAGCAATGCTCTTAGACCATAAGCCGATGTGTTCAAGCAACCAGTCCCAGCCACAGACATGTTTTGAAAAGCACGTCGTGGAGACCACAACAAGCACCTAGAACATTCGTCGGCGGGCTTGTATTGGGCGCCCGAATTATCCGGGGTAACTCGGGTCCGGGGTAACTCGGGTTTGGATTCCCGGAAAAGGAACCCGAGTTAGCCCTGACCCGAGTTATCCCTGATGATTCGGGGCTCTGGACGCCCGAGTTATCCGGGGTAACTCGGGTCCGGGGTAACTCGGGTTCGGATTCCCGAAAAACGAACCCGAGTTATCCCTGACCCGAGTTACCCCTGATGATTCGGGGCTCTGATTGTAGGCGAGCCAAGATGCTGCGCAGCTGCTTCACCAACGGGCTCCGCGCTCGGGCGCGCCGGCAGCTGGGCGAAGGCGTCGCCAGCGAGCGCGGCATCGCCGTGCGCCGCCGCGGCCTGGGCCGCCGCGGCGACGACGTCCTCGGAGGCCGCGCGCTGCCGCACCGCGCCCGCCAGCGCCTCTCGGGGAGGAGAGAGCAGCGCCCCGAAGCAGCTCGGCGACGGCTCCCAGCAGCTCCCACTGCTGAAGTGGCCCTGGGACGCACAACTAAATACACACAGATAACCAGCGTCCCCATAGTTTCCCATAGGTTCTGGGTTTCTGTCTCCCCCCCCCGCCTCCCATATTTTCCCGTATGTTCCTGGGAGTCGACGATGAATTGTGCCTGTGTGTCTCTTTCCCTCCTGAAGTGTTCGGGGGCGCGCAGGCAGGTTAGGCTCGCGGTCCCCAGATCCATGGATTCTGGGGAGGTGCCCTCCCCAGCATGCGGCACGCGCCGCCTCGCTCGGCGGCGGAGGTCCCCGATGTCCCATGGATGAAAGGGGAACTGGGACACACACATACATAGACACAAATAACCAGATTCCCTATACAAATATATGGTTCCCCCCAAGATCATACATCTCGTCTTAGCTCAGCTTAGCTTAGCGCAGTGCAGCATTAGCATAGCATAGCATAGCGCAGCATAGCACAACATAGCGCAGCATCGCATAACATAGCGCAGCATAGCATAGCATAGCTTAGCTTAGCATAGCACAGCGCAGCATCGCATCGCATAGCATAGCATATCATAGCATAGCCCAGCATAGCATAGCACAGCATATCATTACTACTACTACTACTACTACTACTACTACTACTACTACTACGACTACGGCTACTACTACTACTACTACTACTACTACTACGACTACTACTACTACTACTACTTCTACTACTACTACTACTTCTACTACTACGACTACTACTACTACTACTACTACGACTACTACTACGACTACTACTTCTACTACTACTACTTCTACTACTACTACTAATACTACTACTACTACTACTACTACAGCTACTTCTACTACTACTACTACTACTACTACTACTACTACTACTACTACTAATACTACTACTACTACTACTACTACTACTACTACTACTACTACTACTACTACTACTACTACTACTACTACTACTACTACTACTACTACTACTACTACTACTACTACTACTACTACTACTACTACTACTACTACTACTACTACTACTACTACTACTACTACTACTACTACTACTACTACTACTACTACTGCTACTGCTACAATTGCGACGATGAAGAGAAGGAGGACGGCGTTTACCGCTACTGCTAATATTGCTCTCCTCGGGGCTTCAACTCCTCGGGGCTCCTCTGGGATAATTTTCAAGTTCAGCTTGGGGAGGGAGCCTGTTGAGTATCGGTTGGTGTGTTGGAGACGGAGGGCGTTGAGTACTGGATGGTGTGCTGGAGACGGAAGGAGTTGAGTAGAATATCAGTTTCAAGTTCAGCTTGGGGAGGGAGCCGGTTGAGTATCTGGTGGTGTGTTGGAGACGGAGGGAGTTGAGTAGTAGGTCAGTTTCAAGCTCAATTTGGGGAGAAAGCTCGTTGCTCCCCTGTCGCCTCCCCCCCCCCAGCACCTGTCTCTGTGCCTCCCGAATCAAGACAGAACGCGCGCGTGCACCGTGTTTGGCGCCACCGATGTACGGAAACGCTGTATGTTTGTTTTGTTTGTTTTTGTTGGTCTGCGAAGCCACGAAACACTGTGTATTTTTTGAGGGGGGGGGGGTTGCAAGCCCCCGTGCCCGCCGCGGCCTCCCTCCCATCACCCCTCTCTCTGCCTCTCAAAACAAAAAAAACAGAAAACAAAAAACATACACAGTGTTTCGTGGCTTCGCAGACCAAACAAAACAAACAAACACAAAAATACACAGCGTTTCCTTGCATCGGTGGCGCCAAGCATTGCGTAGAGAGAGAGAGAGAGAGAACTATATATATATATAGAGAGAGAGAGAGAAAAAGAGAGAGAGAGAGAGAAAGAGAGAGAGAGAGGCAGAGAGAGACACAGAGAGAGAGAGAGAGGCAGAGAGAGTGAGAGATAAATAGAGAGAGAGAGAGAGAAAAAAGGAAAAGAAGCAGTCGAGGATGGGGAGACGACAAGGTATGATCTTGGGGTATATATATATATATATTCCCAACCATCCTGTGGTGTTGGGTCCCCCTTTCAAATAGACAACGCCCCGCGTCCCCTCATTCCTTCCTTCCTCCTCCCCCTCTTCCCTTCTCCGTCCTCCCTCCTCCCCCTCCCCCTCCCCCTCCTTGCCTTTGCTCTCGGCGCACCTCTCACACGTTTCGTAGCCCCATCGGGAGCTCCACCGAAGGCCCCAGTGGCACAGCCCGCATGCGGTTCCCTCACCCAGGGCAGCGTTTCGTGGCCCCACGAGGAGCTCCACCGAAGGCCCCAGTGGGGGGGGGGGCGCATGCGGGTCCCCCACCCAGGGCAGCGCTTCGTGGCCCCATAGGGACATCCACCGAAGGCCCCAGTGGCTGCTCTCGCATGCGGTTCCCCCACCCAGGACAGCGTTTCGTGGCCCCATAGGGTGCTCCACCGAAGGCCCCAAAGGCTGCTCTCGCATGCGGTTCCCCCACCCAGGGCAGCGTTTCGTGGCCCCATAGGGACATCCACCGAAGGCCCCAGTGGCTGCTCTCGCATGCGGTTTCCCCACCCGAGGCAGCGCTTCGTGGCCCCATAGGGAGCTCCACCGAAGGCCCCAGTGGCTGCTTTCGCATGCGGTTCCCTTTCCCAGGGCAGCGTTTCGTGGCCCCATAGGGAGCTCCACCGTAGGCCCCAGCGGCTGCTCTCGCATGCGGTTCCCCCACCCAGGGCAGCGTTTCGTGGCCCCATAGGGAGCTCCACCGAAGGCCTCAGTGGGGGTGCCCGCATGCGGTTCCCCTACCCAGGGCAGCGCTTCGTGGCCCCATAGGGAGCTCCACCGTAGGCCCCAGTGGCTGCTCTCGCATGCGGTTTCCCCACCCAGGGCAGCGTTTCGTGGCCCCATAGGGAGCTCCACCGTAGGCCCCAGTGGCTGCTCTCGCATGCGGTTCCCCCACCCAGGGCACCATTTCGTGGCCCCATAGGGAACCCCACCGAATGCGTTGCTCACAAAGACGGTATTCACAACTGCATATGGTTGGGTCCTTCGCCAGGCTAATTTCCTATATGTTCTGGGTTTTTATCTCCCCCCCCCGCTTCCCATAATTTCCATATGTTCTGGGGAATCGACGATTAATTTTGTCTGTGTGTTTTTCCCTTCCTGTTCCACGCCCCCTTGATCCATGTTTCCGACCGACAGAACTGTTAGGAGGCACCTACTGGGAGGTCTTCTTCGGAATGACTGAGGAAAAAACATCCCCGTTGAGGGGGCTCTTACGCCGGATCGGGCCGTCGATGAAGCGGGATCAAGCCGGATGAAACGGGATTGAGCCGGGTTCAGCGGGATTGAGCTGGATGAAAACGGGTCTCGGGCCAGGGCAAAATCAGAACAGTACTTCCCACGAACTGCATCCGAACCCTCCTCCTTCCCCCCTCCGCTCCTCCTCATCCTCCTCTCCTTCTTCCCCCTCGTCCTCCACACCTTGCGTACTCCTCCTCATCCTCATCCCCCTCGTCCTCCTCGTCGTCGTCGTCGTTGTCTTCCTCCTCCTCGTCGTCGTCCTCCTCCTCGTCGTCGTCCTCCTCATGCACCCTCGCAGGCGTGAACAGAGACACCCAGCCGCTCCCCAGCTCCAGCAACGCCCGCCGAACGCCCTGGGCGTCTCCACTCCGCTGGGGATCGGCGGAACGGCGCAAGCCACCTGAGCACTGTCATGATGCGATCGGCCCAGGATTTGGCGGCGAGCCCCGGGGGGGACTGCCAACGGGGCGGGCCTGCTCTGAAGGCTCGGAAGTCCCCCGGCCTTCCGAGAAATACTCTGAGCCTGCTCCGACGAGGAAGGCGACTGAGAAGACCGCCCCCCCTCCGAGAAGGCCCGCACACTCTCACCTCTCACCATCGGGCGCGCAGCCGGGTAGCGCCACGCCCGTACACCGCATCATGTTGGGACTCCCGTCAGGCCACGCTCAAGCGGTTGCCAACGTGGCACGATGCATGTATGTGTTTTCCCTGAGGGCCGAAAAGCAACGCACTGTACCTTTCCTGGGTCTAGGATCGACGACGCCTCGGGGGGACGACAACAATATCTTGATACGACTGGCTCAGGATGCATGTCGGGCCCTTTCCCCGAGAGGCTCCAAGAGGCCCCCTAAAATACCCCTAAGATGCCCCACGAAACTCTAAACGTTCTCCCGCGAACACGCAGGCAAGTGTCCGCGATGTTACAAGATGGGCTAGCGGAAACGCGAAGCGATTCAGTAATGTCATGATTCGATTGGCTCAAGACACATTCCAAGACCTCCCGAGTATCTAGCGGCCGTCGTTTCCGAAGCCCGTATAGGGCATTAGAAATATTAGGTCATCGTGGGAACGATTAAAAACTATTATACGCAATTGAGGGGCCATTAAGCCGGAAAACCCAGATAAGCGTGGGATTCAGCCGGATGACAGAGGATTCGGCAAGATGAGACGGCATTGATCTGGAACAGGCCGGATGCCGACCACGGTGAGACCAGCGCAGAAGCTGCGCTTCACCTCGCAGGAGTCGCACTCTAAGAAAGAAACTGGGGAAATCAAAAGGTACCGATACCGCTACTCCCCGGACCTCTCCCGGGAGCGTTCTGACCAGGATTTCGAGGCGAATCCAGCGGTGGCGACGAGGAATGCCCAGGAGGGGAAAGAACGAGGGAAGGGTAGAGGTATGGGTACCTTTTCCTCCTCTGAGAAACATGTGTGATCCTGGACACACGCACCACTGCCATGACCTCCTGCCCCCCTGGGCCTCGCCCGCCTCCGCGCCCGTGCGCGCGCCGCGCACCAGCGCGGCGAGGGCCGCGGGGCTCAGCTGCACGCCGCTGGCCCGCACGCGCTCGCGCACGGCGTCGCCTGCCTGGCGGCAGCACAGCCTGTCGGCCTCCTCCGGCAGCAGAGGGGGAGGAGGGGGACCCGGGGGAGCAGGGGGAGGAGGAGGAGGAGAAGGAGGAGGAGCAGGAGGAGGAGGAGGAGGAGGAGGAGGAAGAGGAGGAGGAGGAGGAGGAGGAGGAGGAGGAGGAGGAGGAGGAGGAGAGGAGGAGGAGGAGGAGGAGGAGGAGGAGGAGGAGGAGGAGAGGAGGAGGAGGAGGAGGAGGAGGAGGAGGAGGAGGAGGGGAGAGGGAGGAGGAGGAGGAGGAGGCGGAGGAGGAGGAGGAGAAAAGGGAGGAAGAAGAGGCGAAAGAGGAGGAGGATGAGGAGGAGGGAGGAGGAGGAGGGGAGGCGGAGGGGGAGGAGGAGGAGGAGGAGAGGAGGAGGAGGAGGAGGAGGAGGAGGAGGAGGAGGAGGAGGAGGAGGAGGAGGAGGAGGAAGGTGGAGGAGGAGGAGGGAGGAGGAAGGTGGAGGAGGAGGAGGAGGAGGAGGAGGAGGAGGAGGAGGAGGAGGAGGAGGGGAAGGCAACGACATACACGTAATCTGTCGGAGGCCCGCGCGTCTCTCTTGGCTCGGCGCTGCCTCGGCCCTCCCTGGCGCGCAAACACGAGCCGCGGGGAGGGCACCGGCACCGCCGCCGAGCGGGCCCGCGGACCTCCGAAGCCTTCAAAATGATTTCGGCAGTGCTCTCGTCTTCCAGAGGCCTCCCAGATAGGATCGGAGCAGATGGGGTCGGAGGATCTCGCCGCATCGCCGACGCATCGCCGACGCATCGGCGATGCGTCGGCGATGCACTGGCGACGTCGGCGATGCGTCGGCGACGTCGGCGTGACGAAACACGGGTTCCACATCGAGCCGCATTGTCGATGCGTCGGCGATGCGGCGCGATCCTCCGATCCCATCTACCGCGACCCCATCTAGAAGGCCTCTAGAGGAGGAGGATAAGGAGGAGGAGGAGGAGGAGGAGGAGGAGGAGGAGGGTGATGATGATGATGATGATGAGGAGGAGGAAGAGGAGGAGGAGGATGAGAGGAGCTTTCGGAACAGCTTTTTTTCTTGGGGGGGGGACGGGGAGGAGGAGGAGCAGGAGGAGGAGGACTAGATCTTCTTCGACTCCTCGAGGAGCACCTCGGCCGTCCAGGGGATCAGCAGGCCGCAACCGGCCAGCTCGTCCACCAGCATGGGCGCCCTAGACTGCTCGGCCGCGAGGCGCAACAGCTGCCGCAGCACGTGCCGCGGGGCTCCCGAGGGCGTCGCGGGCCCCAGGCAGGCCTGAGCTGCATCGAATCGCGAGGTCGGATCGGATCCCCAGACATGATCGCGTCGCAACAAAAATCAGGACGGGAGGACTTTGGTCGACTTCGGCCCCTGGGAGCCCTCGCCAAGCCTCGGGACAATCAAAAAACGACTCAGGATGACAAACCGGTCCCGGAGAAAAGGTCGGGACTTCCAGGGGCCGCGTATTAACTGAAATCAGGACGTCCGCATGTCTGGGCCTGAATCGGATCGGATCGCCCGCAAAGCGCCCCAAATTGGATCGAGATCGAAGCGCCGCGCCTGGCCTCCCACCGGCCCCGGCGGGAGGCCCGGCGCGAATCGGATCGCAGGGGAATCGAGCCGGCGAATCGGATCGCGTCGGCTCGCATCGCGGGCGGCCCTGCCAGGCTGGCCTTCCAGGGCGCGGCGACGCTCTTCAGGGTGCGCAGGGCGCCGTCGAGGTCGGAGGCGTCGATCGCGGCGCTCAGCTCGGCCAGCGAGGCCTTGAGGCCCGCCCTCGGTGCGCCCTCCGGGCCAGGGCGCTCCTGGAGAGGGCGGCGGGGTGGGCGGATGGCGGGTCTAGGGGGCCACATGCGAACCCTACCCCTACCCCAGACGATTTCGGAGGGGGAGGGTGGGGGTCACTTCGCTCGGGAGCTCCCGAACGACGTGAACCCCCCCCCTCCGAAATCGTGGGGGGTAGGGGTAGGGTTCGCATGTGGCCCCCTTTTGTCACTGCACCGACCTTGCAAACGTGGTGCAGCGGATTTTTGCTTGGATGTTGCAGGAATTCCTGTCAGCGCAAAACCCCGACACGGCTATCGAAAAACGAAGCGAATGTCACGTGGACTCGGTGACATATCATTCCTGGCCAAACATATCCGCAAGGAGTTCCCTTCGAAACCCGGAACGAAATTACCCAGGACACGCCGGGCCAGCCCTATTGTCTTCCGAACGAAATCCGCTCTGCGATGCTGGCGCCATGACGGCTGAGAAGTGAAACACGAGGGAGGGGGGCGAGTCACACGCATGTCCTCTGCCGCTGACTCAGCCCGGGCGGTACGACCAGAGTGGCGCTACGGCAGCCACACACGCCGCCCACGGACCGGCCTGCGACCGCACCTGCGTGAGTCTCCGCCCGAGGCAGTGCTGCGGGACGCCCGGCCCCCCACCCCACAGGCAACTCTTATCGTCACTCTACGGTAGAAGGACGGGGTTCGGCCAGGCCGAGAAAAAACGGGTGAGGATGACGAGGTGGCCTCGTGAGGACGAGCACGCATGACGGGATGGACGATCGAGGGCGAGCAAAAGGCTCATGAGCAAGCACGGTAAAGGGGCACCTGAAGGGCCTTGCCATGCTTGAGGTTCAGGGTGCGCTTCGGCTTGCGCACGCGGTGCTTGCCGAACACGAGTGTGTGCGCGACGAGCGCGATTATGAACACCAGAATCTCTGTCTGGAGATCTTCCACGACTTGGAGAGCGGCCTGGAAAGTATCTTGAAAGGCAGCGGCGGCCTGGAAGAGTGCCATTGCGCGATTCGGTTAGTAATAGTAGTACTTAGTACGTAGCTTCGTGATTGGGCCAGGTCGGATGGGAATCCTGTCAATTGTACTTGGGCCGAAATATTCACAGAATCGCAGGCACGGGGATCAGTGGGTAAAGCGCGAGAGCACCACGAATGGGAGTTCAGGAAACGATGGGGAAATTCAGGTGAAGGGCTGTGGAGGCAGAGAGGGAAGAGACGCTTTCCGTGTGGGATCAAGTTTGCAGCGAAAATCTCAGCTACATGCTACATGCTCGCCCCCATGAGGGTCCTTGAAGCCAACGTGCCTACGGTTCGACAGAGAACGATGATCGCTGGTGATGGGACCAGGGACAGAAACATGACATGCAACGTACATATACAACATCGTATAGTTGTAAATGTGCATGTGTGATTACACGCACGCTAAAACTCGTAGGACTGTCGTACCTCGCTATGCCTGCGTATGCTTACATGCATGCCAGCCACCGCGTCATAAGTCATCAGCGGAGTGTCTTCAACTCCCTTTGAGAGTTCTGAGTTGCATAGTGTACGTGCTGTTTATGCGGCCCAGACCCAGATCTTCTAGCGGCATTTGGGAAACGCCGCGTGACTTCTTTTGGGGCCTCAAAACCCCTAGTTGGGATTCAGCACGTCCGAGGTGCTCTAAGATGGTCCCATGGCCTGTGTTGGAGCCCCCTTGGACCGTGTCTTGGAGGTCCTGGGAACAAACCAACATGATTGAAACCACATGCGTCCTTCCAAATAACTTCTAATTTCCGCTTCAGACGGCCACAGGAGGGGCCCGAGAGCGAAATCATGGACTAATTACGATGTCGAACTCTGGACCACATGATGGCCTCCGATACCGCCAAACAACCCCCGGAAAAAGGCCCTCAATAAAGCTGCAGGAGGCCCACAACGGGCCAGCACGATGGCCTCCCTGAGGCCTCCCCAGAGACCCCCTAATGGCAACCCATATTACGTTGACCCACAACCCGAGCACGGTGGCGGGCTAGGGCGCACGCATATACAAAAATCACCTGTGTGCCTGGTCTCATGCCAAAACAAATAGTGGGCCACCGATGAGGTTGCCACAACTTGCGATTAGACCACATGCTGAAAAGCGCCCGTGAACACAAGCACGCAAACAAACAGATAACAATCTTGGAAAACTACACTGTGAGGCGTAGAACAAATATGCTGTTGGCGGTTGTGGAAGCTATGATAACCGTTGCCTTGCTTGGTGCGTCTCTTGAACAGAAAATGGTGTTCTAACAATCAGGTCCTAAAGTATTGAGAACCAGAGTGCCATTAACGGCTTGATGCTTAAAGGACGAACAACACATATGCTGTGTGTGTGGACCATGGCGTCGCGATCTGAGTGAGGCGCGTGCCCACTGTTCAGAAGTATGAAGATGCCCCGAGCGAGATGGCCAGAAACACCGCGGACGGGACCACCGACAATCACCTCTGAGCTCGCCTCCCTTGGAGAGGCGGCACGCTTCTATGAAGCGTATGTCTCCGCAAGCGCGCCCTTGAGGCACGACTTCCAGTGTCCTCAGGTCCCTTGACCCCCGGAGGAGGAGGAGGAGGAGGAGGAGGAGGAGGAGGAGGAGGAGGGGGAGAAGAGAGGAGGAGGAGGAGGGGGAGGAGAAGGAGGAGGAGGAGGAAGAGGAGGAGGAGCAAGAAGAGAGGAGGGAGGAGGAGGAGGAGGAGGAGGAGGAGTGAGGAGGAGGGAGGGATGGAGGAGGAGAGAGGAGGGAGGGAGGAGGAGGAGGAGGAGAGGAGGAGGAGGAGGAGGAGGAGGAGGAGGATGGAGGAGGAGAGGAGGAGAGAGGAGCAGGAGGAGGAGGAGGAGGAGGAGGAGGGAGGAGGAGCCTCAGTCGTCAATCCTGAGGATTCTTCAGGGGGGCCTGGACCCAACTGCCACAGCGGCCGGGGCGCGCCGCGTGGCCCCCCGGGGCGCGGCGGGTGGCCCCCGGGGGCCCCGGGGCGTCTTCATACTTCTCCTCCTCCTCCTCCTCCTCCTCCTCCTCCTCCTCCTCCTCCTCGGCCTCCTCTTCCTCCTCCTCCTCCTTTGTTTTTTTTGCCGTCGGGCCCAGGAGGCCCCAATGAAGGGGCCCTGGGGCACACCAATAAGCACACACACACATAGAAATAGCAGGGTTCCCCATATCTTCTGATGTTTCTGGGTTTTTGTCTTCCCCCCCACTTCCCATCTTTTCCCATCTTTTCCCAGGGATCGACGATGAATTGTGTCTGTGTGTTTTTTCCCCTCCTGACCCAAGAGGGTCTCAAGAGGTCCCGAAGAAGTTCCAAGAGGGCCACGAACCGCCGCACGATCGGTCCAAGGCGCCCAGGATGGTCTCCAGTCGGCCGGAAAGGCGTCTGGGACGCCTCAAGAGGCCTCCAAGAGCCTTCCCAAGAGCGCCCCGAGAGGCCAAAATCATTCATGTGCCTTAGGTGTTTCAATATGTTTTAGGTCCTTGACGTTTCAAGCTTCCGACGCATCAAGACAACCAAAGAAACCCCCAAGACCGCCCCAAGACGGCCCAAGAGGCCTCCAAGAGGGGCCACAGACCGTCCAAGAGGACCCTCAGACGGCCCAAGAGGCGCCCAAGACGGCCCAACAGGGTCCCACGATAGCCCGAAGAGGGGGAACACAAACAGAGCATCCGAGTCTTCCACCCCAGGAGACCTCCAGGAGGCCCCAAGGAGGCTCGAGGAGGATCCCATGAGGTCCCAAGAGGCCCCCACGACACTCCCAAGACGCCTCCAGAGGATCCCAAGAGGCATCCAAGCGGCCCCGAAGAGGCCCCTCGCGACACCCGAGCGAACATCCCAGAAGGCCTACGACCCACAACCCAGCCACGGTGGTGAGATGGGCCGAAGGCCATACATATCCGCCAGCCCCGTTGTGGGGACACCAGGCTGCATGGGCTACGCTAGCTAATCCCTGCACAATGTTACTCAATTTTCAGTTTCAGTTCCAGTTCCAACTTCCAGATTCCAATCCAGTTCCAGTTCAAGCTCCAGTTTCAAGTTCACTTTCCAGTCCAATTTCCATTTTCCAGTTCCCAATTGCACTTAGTTGTTGGAAGTCCGTGTCAATTCCCAATCCCTCATGTCACAATCATACTTTTGACTTTTTACTGTAAATTGATGCTGTCCGCGCGAAGGGGGGAGCCAAAAAGCGTCCCGTGACCTGCACATGGGGGTTTTCTTAGAATTTCTGAGGGGGCCGTGGGACAAGAAAATTCCATAACATTCGCGCCCCGAAACAATATACCCCAAACAACTATATTAGATTCGCGTGCCCGCGTGCCCGAGGCCATAAACCTTCGTGAATCACGCCGTATTCGCGTCCCCCAGGCCATACTCCCTCATACATTACACTCTATTGGAGTCCCCGAGGCCATAACCCCTCGTAGGTCACGCCGTGCTCGCGTCCCCGAAACCAGAATCTATTATACATTACACCATGGTTGCGTCCCTGAGGCCACCATCCTCTGTACATTACTCAATGTCCACGTCCCCGAAACCATCAACCAATATTCGCGTCCTCGAGGCCAAGATCTATAATAGATTATAAAATGTCTGCGCCCCCGAGGCCAACAACTCCCTTACGTTACGCCATCTTCGCGTCCCAGAAGCCGTAACCCTAGCGCAAAGTATGAGCATCTGCGTCCCCGAGGCCATTATCCCGTGCAGATTGCAGTGGGTTCGCGTCCTCAAGACTAATCCCAAGTGGAGTATTCAATAGTTCCCTCCCCGAGCCCACGATGCCTCGTAGATCGCAAGTTGCCTGCACTCCCAAAGCCATAAACTGTTAGTCAATTGCGCTGTGTCTGCGCCCCCGACACCATCGGCCCTGTAGATTTGGAATCCCGAAACGGTGCGGTGACAGACCGTGCGGTGACCTCGAAATCCCCCAAGACCTCACCGCACGGTCCGTCACCGCACGGTCTTGGGACGCTGGAGGCCCCTGTCGTCCGAGACGTCCTCGGAGAACGACCCGAGTCCCAAAAACGTGACCCCGTTTGGGGATCCCCGAGTTATGTACGGCAGGTTCGCGTCGTGTCGACCCCAGCGTTGGTTTCTGACGCCGCTGGGATCGTTCAACCTTGAACGATCGGCCATTTCCGCAACGTCCAATCGTTCAACATCGATCGATTCTGGGTCGCCGGTGGCGTTCAACCTTGAACGCCGGCGCTGGGGTCGCCGCTGGTCGACACGACGCAAACCTACCGTACGCTGTGCTCGCGTCCCCGGGGCAACACTCCTTTGCAGAAGGCATGCAGCGTGTGCGCCCGAGGCCGCGGGTGTCGCACACGGAGACATGCTCGCGTCCTCGAGAGGCCACGGCCCCAATCAAGCACTGCAGAGCATGTCCGCACCCGCGAGGCCACGCGTTCCTCACATGTGGCGCCAACTGTGCGTCCTCGAGGCCGCAAAACCTTGCACATTACGCCGAATCCGCGCCCCCTATATCATCTTCATCACCATCACCATCACCATCACCATCACCATCACCACCATCACCACCACCATCATCACCACCATCACCATCACCATCACCATTATCATCATCATCAGCATCATCAACATCATCAGCAGCATCATCAGCATCACCATCAGCAACAACAACATCATCAGCATCAACATCATCATCACCACCTCCCGCAGCAGGATCATGAGCAAGGTCTCCATCACAATTACCATTGGCGTCAGCATGATCATGTCTTCAAGACGGGGCCAAGACATGCCGAAACCAAATCCTGATGTCTCCCTTTCTTTTGTTATACAAGCCAGCGGCAGGTGGCGAACCCCTCACTGAGATACATGTATATCTATACAGTTAGGTATAACTATATATATGTGTGTATGTAAATATCTATGTATGTCCATCTGATGCTAATTGGTTGTCGGGCCGTCACCGTGCTAATGCAAGGTCCGAGTGGGCACTCTTTGGGGTCTCTCGAGGCCGTTTACACGCCGTCTTGGAGGCCTCCTGGGCCGTCTGTGAGCCGTCTGAGGCCGCCCAAATCTTACTAGAACCAAGCGCGCTTAGGTTCTAGCAAGCCCCAGGCCGTGACAAGTTCACAAATCCTCTGAAAGAATTACCCGCAAATCAAGCACACACAATGGCACACCCATGCAATGCAGTGCTAACCAATGCAAGGCAGTAGAGACGATGGAGTGCCCACATTGGCACTGCAATGCAACGCAGTGCAACGGAAACCAGATGCGAGCGCCATGCAGCGGGAAGCACTGCAAGCAAAAGCTTGCAACGCCAATGAAAGGCAAGGCAATGCGATGCCACACAGCTAAATGCAAGGCAGGGCAATGCTCACCAGAGCAGTCCCGTTTGCGGAGCCATGCCTGTGCACATCCGTCGGAAAACAACTAAGTGGAAAACAATGCAATACAATACATAATAACGCAAGAGGCCGTACTAACCCGAGGGTTCCGGACCCTCAGAGATCCAGGGATAAGGTGTGCAAAATAAGTGGTGGATGCTCCTATTCCGCCGTCGGTAAGCCTCCACGTGACGCTAACGAACCAGCTCGTCCTGTCCCGAGTCCCCCTCCTCCTCCCTCTCGCAATCGATCCTCTGGCTGGTCGGCTGGCCCTGGCCGGCTACCGTTTAGACTGCCACGCAGACTTCCTACGGGGACAGGAAAACAAATACGAATCCCCCCCCTCCAGGCTGCCGGGCAATAGCTGTCACAGGTAGCCCCTGGTCCATCGACCACGCGGCCGGGACAAGCTATGTTTTCTGAGTTGGCCTCACGGGGGCAAGCCTTGCCCGCTCGCATGCGGCGGTCGTCTGGAAGCCACGCCAGGCCCCAATCCCCTGAAGCCTGGATCATTTTCCATGGGATCTGCATGTCCACCACCGGGTTTCCCCTATCCCAATGATAGGGGTTGTGCTGCTGCTATTTTAATGCTCCTCTCCTGGCACATGGCCGAATCTGGTCTACTCTGGACCTGGCGGCACTTTCAAACTCTGGGCTATCGTTTGTTCCCGCATTGTCCCTCTCAGCTCCTGCGTTTGCGCTGCCATCTGTCTCAATATCCCTGGGGTCCTAACGGCGACGCCGCTTAAATCGACGGACGACGGACGACAACGACGACGACGACGACGACGGCGTCGGCGACGACGACGACGACGGCGCCTTTTGGCGCCCTCGGCCCATGCCGCCACCGTTCCTGGGTTGTGGGGTAGAGGCCTCTTGTGAAGTTCGCTTGGATGTCATGCAAGGCCTCTCGGGGGCCTTCTGGAAGCAGTTTTGAAGCCTCTGGGGGTCCGGTTCGGAGCCTCTCGTGGCCTGTTTTGGCCCTTGCGGGCCTCTCTTGGGCCTCTTGGAGCCTCATGGGGGCTTCTTGGAGCGGAAGCCTCGAATTGTCGTTTCGTGTGTTCCCTCTTCGGGCCCTCTTGGGGCCGTCCTGAGGCCCTGTAGGGCCGTATTGGGAGCCTCCCAGGCCGTTCGGGGGCCCTCTCGGGCAGTTTTTGGGGCCTCCTGGGGGCCTCTTCGGGCGACGTTGGAGGCTTCTTGGGCAGTCTTGGAATGTCGGACTCTTGAAAACGGGAGAACACGAGAAAGACATATGAAAAGCACACTGAACATCAATGATGTTTGCCTTTTGGGGCGCTCTTGGGAGGAGGGCCCTGGAGGCGCAAGGTACGCCCTTGAGCGTTCGAAAAGGTCCGCGGGCGCCAGGGACGGAAGTGGTTTGCGGGGGGCGAGTTTTGAACAGATGGGGGGCTCAAGGCCTGAGGCCCCTGACGACCGATACATATATGTATATATATAACTATAAAAATATGCATAAATCTGTATATATATATATATACGTATATATATATACAATATATATATATATACAAGTCGGCCATGTATGTATACAAGCGGATGTTGTAATAACATGGGGAATAGTCGAAATATAACAAAACAGAGAAAAACCGACTCGAAACATCGTCGCCCTAATTATTATTTTTATGTTACTATGTTTGACTACTCCTTATGAAGAGGCGCATGCCCGCCATAATGTTTCACCCCTCTGGGCAATCTATGTTGGGCCTCTTGGGGCTGTCCTGTGGCGGTCGGGGGGCCCCGTTGGGCTGTCTCGGGGCCCTCTCGGGGGCCGTGACGCGCGCTCGACTGCTCCATCGCGCGCAGCCCCGCTCGCTAGTTCCAGCGCGGAGCGAGACCCCGAAGCCCGCAGTCGCTCGGCGAGGCACCCGCGGGGATGCGGCGCGTGTCCCCTTCCCCCCTTCTCCTCCTCCTCCTCCTCCTCCTCCTCCTCCTCCTCCTCCTCCTCCTCCTCCCTCCTCCTCCTCCTCCTCCTCTTCCTCCTCCCTCCTCCTCCTCCTCCTCCTCCTCCTCCTCCCCCTCCACCCCCTCCTCCTCCCCCTCCTCCCCCTCCTCCTCCTCCTTCTCCTCCTCCTCCTCCTCCTCCTCCTCCCTTCGAGTGGGGCGGCGTGGGGGCGAGAGCGAAGAGGGAACCGACTCTCGGGCGCAGGCGAGGCAGGTGTGGAGGGCTGGGAACACGAGCGTTGCGAGCGCGCGGTCCTGGCCAGAGCTGTCCGTTCCTGCCTCTCTCTCTCTCTCTCTGTTGCCCCCTCGCCCCCTCGCTTCCGCCCGTTGTCCTTCCCTCCCGCGAGATGTTTGCCAGTGGGGCCATGCCTGATTCGTCGGGGATGGTGGAAAGGACAACGGCGGCTGTCAGCTGGCGGCGACTGTTTCCGATGATGCCTCTCAGCCTTCGTAGCCAGCGATCTCCCCACACGCCAAGGTAGGGGAGGGCTGGGAGGGAAATGGTTGGAAGGCAAGCCAAAGAGACAAGCAAGGAGCATGGAAACAAAACTATGAACAAACCGATGGGATAACATACGAAAACAACGGAGACCCCCAACCAACCGATACATGCCAAATGCTGCCTGCAGCAGTAGAAGAGAAAGAGTGCGGATGATGAGCAAGGATGAGGGTGAGGCACAGGAATGGGTAATGTGGGTGGGCAAATCAGAGATTCCTCCTCCTGCTCGTCATCCGCATCTTCCTGTTCTACCTTGTCATCATGACCATTGCCCATGGCCCGGCTATCGCGCGGCCACGTCTGCGTTCATCTAGGGGGCCCTCGCGCCTGTGGTGGGCTCCTCTTGGGGCCAGATTGCATCCTCTCCTGGGGGCATCCTGAACTCCGAAGGCCTTCGGCACCCCTTAGAAGCCACAGACGGCTCCTCTGCTTCCCCTCTTTGAAGGGGCCCTGGGACACACAAACAAATGCACACGAATAGCAGGATTCCCCATATTTCCCATATCGTCTGGGTTTCTGTCTTCCCCCCACTTCCCATATTTTCCTGGGAGTCGACGATTCCTTGTGCCTGTGTGTGCTCTGTTGCCTCCTGACAGAGGGCCTGCGGCCTGCTCCCTCCTGCTCCCCCCCTGGGCGCGCGGGCGAGAGGAGGACGGGGGCGAGGGGGCACGATGAGGAGGGCGAGGGAGGAGGGGAGGTGGATAGGACTACAGTCGGGGAGTTGACCTAAGGAGCGATGAATAAGGAACGAGGCCCCTTTTTTCCATAAGTTAAGCTTCGATTTCGTATCGAAAACCTAAGGACAACCCAAGGCAGACTGTGAAGCAATCAAGGAGCACCGAGCCCGAGCCCCTCCCCAACGAAAAGGGTTCCTTCTTCAGGGCCCCTACAGTAGGACTAGGGCAGATGTCGACGACGACGACGACGACGCTGCCGAGCGGCAGCGTGGCGCCTCGCGCGCCACCGGCGGCCCGCTCGCGGGCTTCGAGGAGGCGGTGCCCTGCGCGACGCCGGCCTCGGCAGCGTGGGCGCTCGAGCTGGGGCGACGAGGGCCTGCTTCGGGTCGGACGAGGCCCAGGCTGCGCACGCGTTGACAAAAATCCGGAGGACGGGCTTTTCGCCGTCGGCAGCCTCTGGATGCCCTCGCCGGCCCTGGGACCGTCAAGGAACGCCTCGGGATGACAAGCCGGCCCCTGGGAGGGGTCGAGACTTCGGGGGACCCCGCGTTGAGCACCTCGCAACATCTGATCTCCAGGTGGTCACTGAAGAGGGTGATGGTGAATTAGCTGACCAACTACCCCTCATAATCATATCCAGGGCCAAGAATGTTTGGGGTCCCGGGGGGACCATCAACGATTTGACCCGGCAAGTCGCACGTGGGATGAATGGCGAGGAAAGAAGAGGTCGTCGTCGCCGCACGAAGACGACGACGATCACGACGACGACGACAACGACCTGGCCTTGCCGCGCGTCGTGACTTCGGAGGGGATCACAAGGACGGGATGCGGAAGGAGAGAGAGGGGGCGGGGATGAGGAGGGCGGGAGAAGAGAGAGGCCCCAGGACCTGTTTTCCTCCAGCCAAAAAAAATCGGGTTCGGGCCATGGCGTTGTAGATTTGCAACACTTCCTGTTAGTTTGGCCGGTTTCTACATCGCGTGTGTACGAAGGACCTCATGGTTCCCCGTTGCAGGTACACGGGAATAAAGAATTGGAGGGGAAGGGGGGGGGGGCAGGCGGAAAGGACAGCAAGTAATAATAGTCGTAGTAATAGCAGAAGTAGTAGAAGTAGTAGTAGTAGTAGTAGTAGTAGTAGTAGTAATAGTAGTAGTAGTCGTAGTAGTAGTAGTCGTAGTAGTAGTAGTCGTAGTAGTAGTAGTAGTAGTAGTCGTAGTAGTAGTAGTAGTAGTAGCAGTAGTAGTAGTAGTAGTAGTAGTAGTAGTATAAGTAGTAGAAAACGTAGTAGAAGGAGTCGTCGTAATAGTACTAGTAGTAGCAATCGTACCAGTATTAGTATTAGTGGTCGTAATAGTAGTAGTAGTAGCAGTAGTAGCAGTAGTAGTAGTAGTAGTAGTAGTAGTAGTAGTAGTAGTAGTAGTAGTAGTAGTAGTAGTAATAAGTAGTAGTAGTAGTAGTAGTAGTAGTAGTAGTAGTAGTAGTAGTAGTAGTAGTAGTAGTAGTAGTAGTAGTAGTAGTAGCAATTGTAGTAGTAGTCGTAGTAGTAGTAGCACTAGTAGTAGTAGTAGTAGTAGTTAGTAGTAGTAGTAGTAGTAATAGTAGTAGTGGTAAGATTTGCAGTAGCCGTAGCAGTAGCAGAAGCAGTAGTATTATTAGTATTATTATTATTAGTAGTAGGGGTAGTAGTAGTAGTAGTAGTAGCAGTAGTAGTAGTAGTAGTAGTAGTAGTAATAGTAGTAGCAGTATTAGTAGTAGTAGTAGTAGTAGCAGTAGAAGTAGTAGTAGTAGAAGTAGTAGTAGTAGTAGTAGTCGTAGTAGTAGTCGTAGTCGTAGCAGTAGTGGTAGTCGTCGCAGTAGTAGGTCGTACTAAAGGTCGTAGTAGAAATAGTAGCAGTAGGTCGTACTAAAAGACATACACAAGCAACGGCAATCGTCATACGCGTAGTTGTAGCTCGTAGCTGTAGTAGTAGGTTTTGTTGTAGCCGTCGTAGTAATAGTGGTGGTAGTAGTAGTAGTAGTGGTAGTAGTATATTAGTAATCGTAGCCGTAGTCGTAGTCGCGCTAAAAAGAACCATAGTAGCGGTCGTAGTAGTAGTAGTAGTAGTAGTAGTAGTACCTTTTTTTCAATAGTAGCAGTAGCAATATAACCAATACTCGTAGTATTCGTAACACTTTATCATTAATAGTCGTAGTCGTATTCTTCGTAGTAGTCGCAGTAGAGCCAGTAGAAATAATCGCAGTAGTAGTAATAATAATAGTAATAGTAATCGCAATCGTAATCGAAGTAATAAAACTTGTCGTAGTCGCAGTGGCCGTAGCCGTAATCGTAGTAGCCGTAGTCGTAGTCATACTGTGGGCAGCCGCAGTCGCAGTCATCTAAGTCGCATAGTAGTAACAGCAGTAGGAAGAGTAGTAGTAGTAGTAGTAGTAATAGTAGTAGTAGTAGTAGTAGTAGTAGTAGTAGTAGTCGTAGTAGTCGTAGTAGTAGTAGTAGTAGTAGTAGTAAAAGAAGAGGTAGTAGTAGTAGTACGGGTAGTAGTAGTAGCAATAGTAGAAGCACTAGGAACATGGTGGTACTTGTAGGAGTAACTGTAGTCGGTCAACTTGTAGTCGTACTAATAGTACTAGTAGAAATGACAATACTAAGACAACTCATGGTATTAGTAGTGGTGTGAGTCCTAGGAAGAGCAATAGCCGTGGAACTAGTAATGATGATATGTGTAGTCGTAGCCGTGGTAGTAGTAGTCGTGGTGGCAGTAGTCGTAGACGCAGCCGACGTGCTACTCGTAGTCGAAGTCGTGGCCCTGTTAGTAGTAGTAGTAGTAGTAGTAGTAGTAGTCGTAGTAGTAGTAGTAGTAGTAGTAGTAGTAATAGTCGTAGTAGTAGTAGTAGTAGTAGTAGTGGAAAAATAGCAGTAGTAGTGGTAGTAGTGGCAGTAGTAGGAGCAGTAGTGGTAGTAGTAGTAGTAGTAGTAGTAGTAGTAGTAGTAGTAGTAGTAGTAGCAGTACGACTAGTGGTCGTACTAGAAATAGTAGTAGTAGTAGTCGTAGTAGTAGTAGTAGTAGTAGTAGTAGTAGTGGTAGTAGTGGTACTAGTAATATCAATAAAATTACTAGCAATCGTAATAGTAGTAGTACGAGTAGTAGTACGAGTAGTAGTAGTAGCAGTAGTAGTAGAAGTAGTAGTAGTAGTAGTGGTAGTAGTAGTAGTAGTGGTAGTAGTAATAATACTAATAGTAGTGGTCGTAGTAGCAATAGCAGAACAAATAGTTGTAGCTGTAGTAGCTGTAGTAGCGGTAATACTTCTTAGCAGCCGTGGTAAAAATAATAGTCATAGTAGTAGTAAGTCGTAGCGATAGTAAGAAAGTAAGGGTAGTAGGAGAGGTAATACGTAGTAGAAGTATTAGCAGAAGTAGTAAAGTAGAGAGAGAGAGAGACAGAGAGTAAGTAGAAGTAGTAAGAGCAGTACTCATAGTAGTACTCGTAGACACAGTAAGAGTAGTAAGTCGTAGTAGTCGTAGAAGTAATAGTAGCAGTAGTAGTAGTAGTAGTAGTAGTAGTAAAAGCAGTAGTAGTAGTAGTAGTCGTAGCAATAGAAAAAATAGTGGTAGTGAAAGTTGTCATACTGATAGATAATCTTCTATAGCCCTGCCTCAACTTCGACTCGTAACTCTCCCTCGCGAGAATACAATTCGACTTTGCCGCCCCTCTCCCCCGACCAACTCTGTCTTGGCCAGAGATGATCAACTCTCAATCGGGAAGGCCGGTTGAGGTAGCTGATCTCCCTGGCGCAAGGGGGCGCCAGTGTGTCGAGGGAGGGCGTTCCGCGGCAGGGCGGAAACCAACTGCACGCAGCAGATGTCGTAACCTCCCTTTCCCTATCCCCCCCTCGCGCCCGACCCGACTGGAGAGATCGTGGCCACCCGAATCCATCGATGATCCTCAGGGCGCGTGTCGGAGCCAAGGTGTGCTCGTCCGCCGACGCCCTCTCGTACGACGCGGCCGTTGTATTGAGGCTCGACGCAGCGGGCTGCGCGCTGCTGGTGGAGTTGACCAGGGCAGACGCACTCTGGGTTGACCCGATCGTCATCGAATTTTCACAGGAACTCAGCTGGGTGCACGGTTTCCCCCGGGGCCGTAGGCGACCCGAGGAGGAGGAGGAGAGGATTGAGGAGGCGGAGGAGGAGGAAATTGAGGAGGAGGAGGAGGAGGAGCAGGAGGAGGAGGAGAAGGAGGAGGAGCAGGAGGAAGAGAAGGAGGAGGAGCAGGAGGAGGAGGAGGGGAGGAGCAGGAGGAGGAGAAGGAGGAGGAGGAGGGGGAGTAGGAGGAGGAGGAGGAGCAGGAGGAGGAGCAGGAGGAGGAGCAGGAGGGTAAACGCACTCTGTGCTGACCCGAGCGCCGTCGCATCTCGTAGAACTCAACTGGGCCCGACTGCATGGGGCCAGGCGCTCGCACCGCATCGCGGGTGAATCGGCGATGCGTCGGCGACGCAACGATGGGAGAACATCGGGGTCTAGACCTAGACTTGTGCTGTTTCCAACGCACTTAAGGTTAAGTCGGGCCTGTCCCCCTAATTACAGGGGGATGGTCGACGAGAAATAAATAGATAAGACCCCAACAAAAATCAAACAACAGTCCCAAAATAGTCGGGGGACTATTTGTTTAGTATTGTTTGACCTTTTGGGAGTATTTTGGGGGTGTGTTTTACTTTCCGTCGAAAATCCCCCTGTAGGGGGACACGCCCGACAGAAACTTACGGGCCACATCCCAGAAATAACTTCGAGCACCCAGACAAGTATCGAAACGATGCCGAACGGGTATCGCCCCCCAGGGCCCGACACGTGAACACCCTCCAGTTTCGGTGCTCTCTTGGTGTCGAAATTCTTCCTGGTGGTCCAGGCTGAAGTAGGCTGGAATATCAAAAGCCTAAAACCCCCACGTCATGATTTTCTCACAATGCCGACCCCCGGGAGGTCTCGACCAATTCCCTGGGACGCGCCTTGCATCCTCAAGGGCTCCTAAGTTCGCGCTTCGCGCTGCGCGAAGCGCGAATAACTTCGCGCTCTCGCGCCGCCCTCCCAAAGGGAGAATAGGAGGACGAGGAGGAGGGGGGAGGAGAAACGAGGACCGCGAAGCGCGAAGCGCGAATAACTTCGCGCCCTCGAGGGAGCCCTTGCATCCTGAGCGGTTTTACTGCAGGTCCTGGGGCCCGGCGAGGGCAGGGCCCGACACGAACGAGACCTCCTCCGTCGCACTCCTCGATCGTCTCTTCGCTTCGCCCCCCCGCCATCCTCCGACCTAACCTAGGGCTCCCAACTTCGCGCTTCGCGCTCCGCGAAGCGCGAAGCGCGAATAACTTCGCGCTCTCGCGCCGCTCCCCGAAAGGGAGAAAAGGAGGACGAGGAGGAGGGGGCGAAGGAACGAGGACCGCGAAGCGCGAAGCGCGAATAACTTCGCGCCCTCGAGGGCGCCCTTGCCTAACCTGCTCTGGCTGTGCTTCTGGGCGACCGCCTGGACCACAATCACAGCCGAGACGAGGGCGCAGCCGTCGTCGCCGCCGCCGTCGCCGTCGCCGCCACCGCCGCCATCGGCGCCGCCACCATCGGCGTCGCTGCCGTCGTCGTCGTCGTCGTCGTCGTCGTCGTCGTCGTCGTCGTCGTCGTCGTTGGCGTCCTCGTCGTCGTCGTCGTCGTCGTCGTCGTCGTCGTCGTCGTCATCGTCGCCCCTCTCCCGCGCGCCTCCCTCGTCCGCGCGGCTGTGCCTCCCTTCACCGTCGTCCTCCCTCTCCGCCCAGCTACCACACCTCGTCCTCCCTCCATCCTCCTCTACGCTCCTCCATCCTCCTCTCCACGCCTCCATCCTCCATCCACTCCTCCATCCACTCTCCACTCCTCCAACCTCTTCTCCACTCCTCCACTCCTCCATCCTCCGCTCCACTCCTCCATCCTCTCCGCTCCCCTGGAACACGGGAGACTATCGGGCCGGGCGAAAGGGGGGGATAGCAAAGGGGGGGTTTGAGAATCAGCTCACGTAGCTGATTTTCCCGGCGCCTCCCGGCGCTGGGAGGCGCCCATGTATCGAGGAATGGGCCCCTCGGCGGGCCGAAACCAGCTGCATGCAGCAGATTTCGTAACCCCCCCTTTCCCCCCCCCCCCCTTTCGCCCGACCCGAGACTACATCGGCGCGCGGAGCGCGCCGCCTCTGGCGCCCGAGTGTCTGGCGCGCGGAGCGCGCCAGGGGCGGCGCCGGAGCCGCCGCCAGGGGGGCCCGGCGCGGATCCAAGAAATGCGCGCGGAGCGCAAAAACTTTAAATGTTGTATGCCATCATTGTTTCTTCGCTCATTACTCCACGCTCCTCATCCTCGCCGCCGCCGGCCTCCTGCTCCTCACCGTGTCCTCACCCTCCGTCGTCGTCCTCGCCGCCGCCTCGGGGAGAAACCCACACGCCGCTGTGACAAAACGCCCACCTCGTACTTGTAGCAGACGTCCAGCCGGGACAGGAACTCGAACACACCCAGATTCCTATCAGGGAGGGCAAGCACGAACAAGCCACGAGGAACGGTGAAGTCCTGGCGCAACGAAACCCGAAAAAGGTAAGGTAGGGGGGGAGGCAAATACTGTGTGCCGCTATGCAAGCCGGGGATCCGAGGGGGAAGCGGAGGTGGGGGATGCGGGTCTGGGGTGGCCTCCGCAGTGCACCGGGGTGCCGGGGGGAAGTCCCGGGCCGGGCGGCCCCCCAAAAAGAGGGGAACAACGGGCGAGAGGTAGGAGGCATGGGCACCTTTAGCTCCTCTGAGCTCCCTCAAAGGAGAGGGTGGCCCATAAAAAGGGGGAATCACGGGAGAGAGGTGGAGGCATGGGTACCTTTTCCTCCTCTGAGGAGAGGGCGGCCCATAGAAAGGGGGAATCACGGGCGAGAGGTGGAGGCATGGGTACCTTTTCCTCCTCTGAGCTCCCTCAAAGGAGAGGGCGGCCCATAGAAAGGGGGGAATAACGGGCGAGAGGTAGGAGGCATGGGCACCTTTTCCTCTGAGCTCCCTCAGAGGAGAGAGGGCGGCCCATCAAAAAGGGGGGAATCACGGGCGAGAGGTGGAGGCATGGGCACCTTTTCCTCCTCTGAGTTCCCCCAAAGGAGAGAGGGCGGCGCATAAAAAGGGGGAAGAAGCGGCGAGAGATGGAGGCATGGGTACCTTTTCCTCCTCTGAGCTCCTAAAAACAAGGCTAGGATCGGGATAAATCGCTCCAGAGCGTTCCGGAGCGCTCTCAGAGCGTTCCGGAACGCTCTGGAGCGGCCGCGGCGCCCAATACATCCTCCAAACCCGCCGATTCTCAGAGATTTCGAATTATCCCGATCCGATTTTGTCCCGATCTTCGCGTCGTTGCAGTTCCCTCAAAGGAGAGAGAGCGAGAAGGAGCCTCGCACGTCCGATTGCTGCCAAGTCCTCCGCGAGACCCGCGCGCGCGCGGCGCGCACACGGGGGCTGAGGCGCGCCTGCGCCCGACCGGCGACGGGTCCGGTGCCGAGTGCGCGGCGAGCGTGCGCAGCAGCGAGTTTGCCTGCCGCGGCGGGGCGGCGTCCTGCTCCTCCTCCTCCTCCTCCTCCTCCTCCTCCTCCTCCTCCTGCCGCCTCCCTCTCCTCCTCCTCCTCCTCCTCCTCCTCCTCCTCCTCCTCCTCCTCCTCCTCCTCCTCCTCCTCCTCGTCCTCCCCCTCCTCTTCTTATATGTTCCGTCGCCTTCTTCTGATTAGTACGATTGGTATCATTATTATTAGTATTATTATGATATGTGTCCATGGTTTTCACCTTGCCTTATTATTAGTATGGCTTCAGTGATATTATGAATATTCTTCTTCTTATTACAAGTATTCGCATGTTCTTCTAATGGTGCAGTTCTTACTATTATGGCAATTAGTCTTAGTAGTATTAGTATTAGTCGTATTACCCTGCTTCGTCTTCGTCTTTTTCGTATTCGTCTTCGTCTTCGCCTTCCTCTTGCTTATGTTTCTGCTGATGTTTCTGCGTATGCTGTTTCTGCTTCTGCTTCTGAGTATGCTTGCTTCTCCTCCTCATCCTCCTCCTGCTCCTCCTCCTCCTCCTCCTCCTCCTCCTCCACCTCCCCCTTTCCGCATCCTCCTCCTTCTCGGCTCCTCAATTTCTCCTCGGCTCCTTCTCCTCGGCCCCTTCTCCTCCTCCTCCTCCTCCTCCTCCTCCTCCTCCTCCTCCTTCCGCTCCCAGCCCTACACTGAGATAGGGAGAGATAGCAGCCCCAGCACGAGCCACACGTATCTCCACTGAAACTCTCGGACGCCTTGATTTGCTTGAGTGCTGCTGCTCACCTTTCTCCGTGTGCTACTCCTGCTCCACCTCCTGCTTCTCCTCCTCCTCCTCCCCCTCCTTCTCCTCCTTCTCCTCCTTCTCCCCCTCCTCCTGCCTGCTCTCCTCCTCGTGATGTTCCTCCTATTTCTCCTCCTCCTGATACGTTCCCCCCCCCTCCTTGCTTCTCCTCGTCTCATCCTCGTCTTCTCCCCCTCCCCCTCCCCCTCCCCCGCCTCCTCCTCCTCCTCCTCCTCCTCCTCCTTCTCCTCCTCCTCCTCTCCCTCCTCCTCCTTCCTCCTCCTCATCCTCCTCATCCTCTTCCTCTTCCTTCCCCGCCTCCCCTCCTCCTCCTCCTCCTCTTTCTCCTCCTCCTCCTCCCCTCGTCCTCCTCCTCCTCCTCTTCCGCCTCCTCCTCCTCCACCTCCTCCTCCTCCTCCCTCCTCCTCCTGCTCCTCTCCTCCCCCTCCTCCTCCCCCTCCTCCCCCTCCTCGCCACCCCCCCTCCGCCTCCTCCTCCTCCTCTCCTCTCTCCTCCCCCTCCTCCTCCTCCCCCTCCCTCCTTCCCCCCCCCGTCCTACACTGCAGGCTCCTCCTCCCCCCCTCCTCCTCCCCCTCCCCGGCTTCCTCGGCTCCTCCACCTCGTCTCAATCTTCCTCCTCATCCTCCTCGTCCTCCTCCTCCTCCCCCCCTACTCCTCCTCCTTCTCCTCCTCCAAGCGGCCTCCCCCTCGTCTTCCTCCTCCTCCGCCTCCCCTCCTCCGCCTCCGCCTCCTCCCCCTCCTCCTCCTCCTCCTCCTCCTCCCCCCGCCGACCTACAATGGAGCAGGGAGGAATAGCATCCCCTTCCCGAGCCACACGTATCTCCACTGAAACTCTCGGACGTCGTGATTGGCGGAGTGTTCCTATCCTCACCTTCCTCCTCGTGTTACTCCTCTTCCTCTTTCTCCCCCCTCTCCTCGCCCCCCCTCCATCCCTTCTCAAAATGCGGCGTCTGCTTAGCGCCGCGCACATTCGTATAAAACAGCGTGCACAAGTTTCACGGATAAGCGCGGCCTGTTTTGAAAATTCGGCTCTTGCCTTATCACCGCGTGCGTTTGTCTTCAACGTTCGGTAGAAGTTCACGCATGGAAGGTAATTCCGTCTTAGGTGGCTCTTGCCTGTGCGCCGTGCACATTCGACCTCGTAAGCTGCAACAAAAATAAGAACTATCACGGTTAACGTCCGTGCGTTTTGTCATGATGTCGGAATGCCAGGGCGCAACGATCACGTTGATTCGCAGTGCTTGAGACCCAAGGATGGGGTGTATGGCACGATTCAGGATCGTAAGGACGCAACATAAGCGGTGGTTCGCGGCGTTGATGTTCCAAGAATCGCGTGCTGGCACAATTCTGGATGTTCATACGGTTGGTGTCCAACGAGGCACTTCCCTCAGTGCAACGAGTCAGTGTAGGGGCCTATGAAGAGGAAGTTTGGAGAGAGGGTGTATCAATATATCGTTGATGGGCCGTGGATTTACACTGGTCCTCCCCCTCCTCCTCCTCCTCACCATCAGCATCATCACCATCACCATCACCATCACCACCATCATCATCATCATCATCATCATCATCAGCATCATCCTCAACATCATCATCATCATCATCCTCAACATCAGCAGCATCAGCACCATCACCATCACCATCACCATCATCATCAGTATCATAATCAGCATCATCAGCATCATCATCATCATCGTCATCAACATCGTCAACAACATCATCATCACCACCACCATCACCATCACCATCATCATCAGCATCATCACCGACATCAACATCAACATCACCATCACCATCACCATCACCATCATCATCCGCATCACCAGCATCATCAGCATCACCATCACTATCAACAGCGACATAATCAGAATAATCACCAGCATCGTCATCAACAGCACCATCAACAGCATCATCATCAACATCATCATCATCATCGCCATCAACAACAACATCAACAACATCAACATCATCAACAGCATCATCAGCATCATCATCATCATCAGCATCATCATCAGCAGCTCAGCATCACATCAGCATCATCAGCATCATCACACATCATCACATTATCCGCATCATCACCATCATCATCATTATCATCATCGTCAATCATCATCATCATCATCTCATCATCACCATATCATCTCATCATTTCATTTCATCTATCATTATCACATCATAACAGCATCAGCATCACATCAGCATCAGCATCACAAGCATCAGCATCAGCATCAGCATCAGCATCATCATCAGCATCAGCCATCAGCATCAGCAGTCAGCTCAGCATCATCATCTCATCATCAATCATCATCATATCATCATCATCATCATCATCATCATCACATCATCATCACCATCATCATCATCATCATCATCATCATCATCATCATCATCATCATCATCATCATCATTATCGTGACTCTCCTCCTCCTCCTCCTCCCCCGCGCACTTCTCAGCAGCGGGGAACGGGGCGCGGCTGAGCGGGGCGAGCACGGAGGAGCCGGCGACTGTGAGGCGAGCCAGGAGAAGCAGACAAACAAACGCGAGCACAAACGGTCGGAAGTCCGCGGGGGGCTTCGGCCGCCGCCGTCGTCCTCCCGCTCGAGGGCCGAGGCTCGGAGGTCGAGGGGCTTGGACGCTTTTGGTCGAATGCGACAGCATCTTCATGAGCAGACTTCGGTATGCGGAGGCGAGCGCGCGCATTTCTTGGGTCGGCGCTGCCTAGCAACCCGCTCCCAGACCAGAGGCCTCCAGAGCCCTCGCGGTCGGGGCACGGAGGCGCGATCCCTCTCGTGCGCGACCCTGTGGATGCTGGCGGCGCGCACGAGGTGGGCAGGGGTGGGCGGTTTCTCCTGGGGCCGTAGGCGTCCCGAGGCGGGGAGTGCGAGGAGGGGGCGGAGGAGGAGTGGGAGGAGGAGGAGGACGAGGAGGAGGAGGAGGGGGATGAGGAGGAGGAGGGGGAGGAGGAGAGGAGGACGGGTCGCCTGAGCCCTTCGGAGAAACCCTCCAGGCAGGGGCAGGGGGGAAGGCTTCTTAGCATGAGGCCGCGACCTGGAAGGCGCCTGCCTCACATCTGTAGAGAAGGCCCGCGCCCTCTGAGAAGCAGGGGTGCTTCCGACTGGGCATCCTCCGATATGATCCTTTCACCCAGCGGCCCCAGAGATCACGACCGCT